AAACATAATCTTGATATTTTCCATTATGCTACAAATTAGAGACTGGATAAGCAACTATTAATAGATTGTTTTAACAAAACAGTATCTTCTATAAAAATGATGGCAGGGCTCTTTCTGTTGTCTGGACAAATCCATTAGTTGCAACTCTCGGCATGTCCTTGACAATACCTCTTGCAATGATAGCTGATATGGTTATACACAACCGTCACTTCTCTGCAGTCTACATCTTCGGCTGCATTCAGGTGGGCTTATTTTAAACATCATTGTAATCCAATGTTTTGTTCAGTATCTTTAAACAGAATTGAAGAGCCAAGAAGTTCTCCTGGTTCCAACCAGAGCATGGTTGATTCTTTTCTATTTGGGAGCTTCAGTTTCTTAGACTTTAATCAGCACCAAGGCATTTTGCATTTAATGTCCAGTCATCAAACGAGAAACTTCATTAATCAAATTTTGTTGGACACAGGTTTTTGCAGGGTTCATTATAGCTAACCTTTCGGACAAGCTTTCAGTTAGCAGTTGAGTTGTAATGTAGCAGTGACAAATGAATTTTTTTCCATGCTTGGAATTTGGACTGCAAGTTTTTTTTATGTAATATGACAATAATTTTATACTAAGAGTAACGGAGAGTTAATGAAAAGCTTTTATTATGCAGATTTAAATTGGTTAATAACTTAATATTAAATTTTTTTGATAAAAATAAAAAATTTTGAATTAAAAAAACATGATGACGTGGTGAGGGATGGTCTTGCAACTTCAGCCTTTCACACTGGAATTACATTTCGACGATTTGAAAAAATATTATTTCACGATTCTGCACTTTCTTTCTCTCTTTCTTCTTTAAAAAAAAAAGAAGAAAAAAAAAACCCTGAAATAACTATTTACGTCAAATGGGCTGTAAGCCTCTACGTGGGCTACTCATATGCAGGCCTGATCTGCTGACGTTCCATGTTTTTGTTTTCTTTTTTCAATAACTGAAAATTTAACAAATATATCTCAAAAAAAAGAAAAAAAAGAAAAAGAAAAAAGGGGGAGGTGAAATTCGAATCTAATTGTAAATGTCCAATCGGCCAAAATTACAGAGCATCGAAACGAAACCCAACTGGTTGCCCTCTCTGAAGAGATAAACAAAGAAAAAGGAGAAGATGGAGAAAGGAAAAGGGGTAATGGGGTCGGGGCGAAGATGGGCCGTCGATTTCACCGATAACTCCACCGCTCCTTCCTCTCGCGATATCCCTGATCCTCCCGGTTTCACTCGTGCCTCTATAGATCAGGTTCCTTTCCGTCTCCTTCTCACCGTTTTTCCTTTCGATTCGCCATCTGCAACTTTTGACTTTGCTTCACTTTCAATCCCTATTTTATTTTAGGATGATTCTGCACTGAGTAAGCAAAAGAAGGATGCCGAGGCTAATTGGAAATCCCAGGTAATTATTTTCCTCCCTTAAGCTTTATTTTCTTGCTGAATTAGCCTTTTTGGGGGAGATGAGAGGTGGCTATTTAATTTGGATCTTAAGAGAGTTGAAATTGTTTGTTGTGTTTAATCTGAGATGAATAATTCAACACTGCTCATTTATTGGAGTTTTTGAAAACTTGTAGTCTATGAATGTATGTGGAAACAATGATTTGATAATAATTATTATGAAGCTTGTTACTGATTATAATAGGTTTGGTTTTGTCATAAGGTAGACATAAATTTGTATGATAACATGCGTAGTAGTTGATGTTGTCTTGGTTGCAGCAGTTTGGACATTTGGAATCAAGTTTCAGCAAGTTATGTTTTTCCCAAGTTATAAAATAGGTTATTTGGCTTGATTGCCCTTTTATAATTGAACAGAAAGCTTGGGAAGTGGCGCAAGCGCCTTTTAAGAATTTGATGATGATGGGATTTATGATGTGGATGGCTGGCAGTACAGTACATCTCTTCAGCATTGGCATCACGTTCTCAGCTCTTTGGCAGCCTATAAGTGCTTTGCAAGGGGTTGGAAAGGGTAAGCTGCACACAATAGATGATATATTTCTGTGTTATTTATTATTAGTTTCTTCCACATCTCAGATTGTGGTTAGTGCCCCATGTAGAAATATGCTCTTGAAAACAAACTATATATCATACCATGAAAATCTGATGCCTTATAATCTAATACTCGCTTTCCTCCCTGCTCATTCTCTCAGTTGCATTTATAATTCCATTAGCATTGCCTAACAGCTATTAAATAAAGGCATTATTTCATTTTTATCATTCTAATGCCATTGCATGGTATGTGGTGTTGGTGGCTGCAATATGGCGTTCTGAAGTTCAATGGGTGGTTTACTTCCTCTAAAATGTATGTAAGATGCATGATGGAGGAAATCTGATGCCTGCAGCCTGCTAATTGCTAAATGCTGGATTTTCTCTTTTAGGTGTTGCAAATCTAGAACATATGGCACTCTTGTTCTGAAGCTACTGTTATCCGCTAAAATTGAAAATAAATTACCTGCTTTTGTGAGTGGGGTAGCCTCTTACCCCTGAAATATGGTATATCTTATCATATTTAGCATACTTTTTCTCTTCATGAGCTTCTATTTTTACTTCCTCATAGCATCAATTTATATTTAGTTATTGGGTTTGTCTATCTTGTGCCCTAAGAAGTTATTATTGGATAATAATTACAACTTTTTTTCTTGAAAATGGTAAAATTTTATATTAAAAAAATAACTTCTGATTTTTAATTTAAAATTAACCAATAAAAATCTAACATGTGGCATTACTAATTTTACATGTTTTATTTGGGACCTGCATGATAGATAAATGCTGCTCAAATTTATCCAAACTTTTCTTTCATTTGCAGTTTTTGAGCCTTATAAAGACAGTAAAGTTGAGCTTCTTGGGCCCAAGTTGCTCTTCATTGCGCTTAATTTGGGTGGTCTGGCACTTGGTGTTTGGAAGGTAAGTTATTTTGAAAAAGTATTTTAAAATGGATTGCCCCCTTAGAAAGATATAGAAAGGAGGATAAAGAAAATTTAGAGTAAACTTTGCTACATCAAATATTCAAAATTATTCATATTTTGATTTCTTTCATTTTGGCAGCTTAACACATTGGGGCTTCTTCCAACACATGCATCAGACTGGGTTTCATCATTGCCCCCTGCTCAGGTTTGTTGTTTCTTCTTTTTACTTCCTTTGTGACTATATTTTCTTTTTCCTTGGTACAAATAAAATCCTTGGGTGTTTGAGGGGTAAGGAAGAAGGGGCAAACAGTCTCCTTCTATTTCTAAATAAGATCTCTTCTTTCTAGCATGAAAAACAATCCCCGTAGGAATAATTATAGAATTGGGCTTATGAGCTGTGGGTCCATGCTATGATTTCAAAGCATTGTGTGTGATCTTTTAGGAATTTCAATTTCAAAGCATTCAGTGGAACCTTTTCACTAACAGCTATGATTTCTTTGATCAATTCTCAGGAAGTCGAGTATTCAGGTGGAGGCATTCCTCTGCACTGAGGCACTTCATCTTGGTCACACCTAACTCACGGAAGCATGTTAGACTTGCAAGTTGCAACCTATTTTTGGTTGCTTGAAGTGTGTTGTTCGAATAACGTGCCATTGATTCTCATATGTTTTACAAACCGTAGCTTTCATCATGTGAGATGATGATATACAAGGGCTTATTGTACTTTCATAAAACTTAGTTGAGTTGATTATCATCCAAATTTGCCTTCAAGGTTGCTACTTTATACAACTTAGTTGAGCCGATTATCATCCAAATTTGTCTTCGAGGTTGCTACTTTCTCTATTTTAGTTAACAATTTTAGTTATCCAGATGTAATCCTACTTTTATGAAAACAAAAAGGTATTTTGTAGTTTGTATTGTATCGAATTGCAAAATATTAATAATTAGATGGTAGAGTTTTCTCTAATTAACGGTTGATGTTTTGTCATTTAATACAATTCAAACTATAAAATATCATTTTAATGAAAATATTTGGTTTGTTCTAGCTATGAGTAATATATACGAGAAAATCAATGTTTGTAACAAAAATCTCACATTAATTTTGAAGTCCGATATTTTTGGATCAATAAAAATGAGACACGTGTTATGGTTACAAAATAGAAATTATCCCAAAGTATTTTTAATTCCTATTTAAAATCCAGTTAATGGTATAAACTGCCAGTGCTGTTCTATCATCACGTTTTCTCCGCGTCTGATTAGCTACCAAACCTCCAATGGAGTTCACAGAGCAACAACTGATCCAGTACAACGGCACCGACCCATCACAGCCAATATACGTAGCAATCAAGGGTCGAGTCTTCGATGTCACCACCGGAAAATCCTTCTACGGGCCCGGCGGTCCCTACGCCATGTTTGCTGGCAAAGACGCGAGCAGAGCTCTTGCAAAGATGAGCAAGAACGAGGAAGATGTCTGCGCATCTCTCGATGGCCTCTCTGAGAAGGAGATCGGGGTTCTCAACGACTGGGAGAAGAAGTTCGAAGCTAAGTACCCCGTCGTTGGCCGCGTTGCATCCTGAATTTCGTTGCTTCTCTCAAATTTAAAGTAATATATATGCGTGTTCTATCTTCTGTCCCTTTTAGTGTTTATGTAATATACTGTTTTCCTGAGGCTTGAATCGCTTTGTTATGTGTGGGCATCCATCAGTTTTAACGATTATGTGAATCTATTGCTGCTACTTCTACCTCATGGAGCCCTGTTTAGAATGAATAAAATATGGGCTTTATAATCTATGGAGTTTTATATATGTGAAAATTTGAATCTTTAATGTTAATATACTTTAATTTTTCTCTTTGAAAAACTGCAGCTGGAGTATGTTAATCTTGATCATAGAATCTTATATTTCTGGGTATATATGATTATGTGGAAGTATGAGGAGTATTGCCATAAACCATAGGTGAGAAATAACCTGGGACAGATGTTGCAATTACACTTCAATCTGCCCAATTTAGTCAGCAGACATTTCTACAATATTCATAAATTAGTACAGCTTTTGAGGAAACTAAATGATGTAATATAGTAGCACCAAATATGTAGTTTCAAAATTTATATCCTCAACTGTCCAGAAGAACACAGCTGGCTATGTATGGGGAAGAATTTGATCTTAAATTTTTTCATGGAAGACTTTGCTCATGGATGTAAATGCACAGTGTGAACTCAGCTACCTTTCTGACATTAGACATGCCCGCATAAATGCTGCTTTAAATGGAGAAATCCCAAGTCCACGTGTTTCTCAACTTGAAATGCATCTGCCTCTAGTTAATACCAAGCAGAGCTCATTATGCTAAACAATCCAGAGCTCCATGGAGGCAAAACGTGTTATTTTCTCCCCAACGCATTTCTGCACTGTTCTGATTCTTACATTGTATTTTCTTGTTGACTCTCCTTCAAATGCAGATCTCTCTTTTGATTTCTATGCAGCTTCTTGCCCTACTGCTGAGTTCATGGTTAGAAACATTGTGAGCTCAGCATCATCTACAGATCCAACAATTCCTGGGAAGCTTCTTCGATTGCTGTTCCATGACTGTTTTGTGGAGGTCAGTCCTTTTATTGGCTTCAAAATCTAAACCATGTATAAATCTAGTCTACATTAAGTTGAATTGTGCCATCTTGAACAAGGAAGTTGGTAGGTAATTAATGTTCTGCTTGATTGATACAACCAAGGTTATTTTCATGTTACAGGGTTGTGATGCATCTGTGCTGCTTCAAGGAAATGGGACAGAAAGGAGTGATCCAGCAAACACTTCTCTTGGAGGATTTTCAGTCATTGATTCAGCAAAAAGGGTGCTCGAGATTTTCTGTCCTGCAACTGTTTCTTGTGCTGATATTATTGCTTTGGCTGCAAGAGATGCAGTTGAATTTGTAAAATTCTCCCTCATGTTGTTTTTTGGTTCCTCCACCTCCGTCCCTCTCTCTCTATGCCTTCTCATTTTGGTTGATTTTTGAGTCCTAAATCCTAATGCTCTGGAAACAGGCTGGTGGACCAGCAATTCGGATTCCCACTGGTAGGAAAGATGGAAGGGTCTCTTCTGTCACAAATGTCAGACCTAACATTGCAGATACAAGTTTTACAACGGATGACATGATAAAACTATTCTCTTCTAAAGGCTTGTCCCAGGATGATCTTGTTATTTTATCAGGTGTTTGTATTAGAAATACAGATCCCAAACTTTTATTCTGATTGCAATTTTATTTTCCTTTTCCCTTCAAATGCCATCTTGACCTTTTAAGTCATGACATATCATATAAAGCTGCTTGTCATATATCAAGTACAAAAATGGCATTCAGACATTTGTTAGATGCCTACATAAATGAGTCCTTTCTTGACATCAGAGAGTTCTTCCAGTTCTGGACCTCCATAAATAAATGAGTGCATGTGTTGGTTTGCTTTGCAGGCGCTCATACCATAGGACTGGCTCATTGCAGTGCATTTAGTGATCGGTTTCAGGTGGACTCCAAGGGAAAGCTGACACTGATAGACACAACACTAGACAGAAACTATGCAGATGAGTTAATGAAGAAGTGTCCGGTAGATGCAAGCACATCCACAACCGTGGATAATGATCCTGAAACATCCTTCACATTCGATAATCAGTACTACAGAAATCTGTTATCCCACAAAGGGCTATTCCAATCAGACTCTGTTCTTGTGGAGGATGGAAGGACAAGGGAACAAGTGAAAGCTTTCGCCAGTGATCAAGACAGTTTCTTCCAGAATTGGGGTCAGTCATTTTTGAAGCTCACTAGCATTGGAGTGAAAACAGGCGACGAAGGAGAAATCCGACAATCTTGTCAAACACCTAATGCATGAAGAAAATTTTGTTGAGTGTTAAACATTAGTAAAATGGTGCTGCATTTCGTGCTTAGAGCAGTGCTTGCATATGTACCGTGTAAAAATTATTGTCAGTTCAATAATCGTTTCAGTTATGACAATTTAGAATGAAATGCATGTTACATGACTATCTTTTACCCTTTTCCCCAGTAATTGTTGTGGTCTTATGTCAATTACATTTAAAGAGGACAGATATTGAAGAAAAATCCGGCGATGACATTCTTGTGGTTTCTATTACTTGTTCAACTTAAAATAAGATGCATTTTTCATGACGTTAGGGTAATTCTTGTGGTCTTATCTCAATCATAAACTCTTGCCTTTTTCAGAATGAAATGCTCTTATGCATGTTTCATAAGTATCTTGCCCTTTTTTCTTGGGCACTTCTTGATGTCTCAACTCCATTTTATGAGGACAGTAAAATCCAACAATTTGTGTGTCTCTATTACTTGTTTGACTCAATAAAAGATGCAACAGTACATAAGAAATTAGCATTGCATTTTTTTTTTTTGAACCCTTAAGTCTGTCTTGCAAATTAAAGTTTTTATAATTAAGGAAAAGTTTTTATAATTAAGGAAAAAAAAAATTATGACGTTTTGATATTAAATATTGGACTGAATGTGATAAATAAAAATTTGTACATATTATGTTTTATATATTTAATAATTTTGATTTGAAATGTTAAAATATTCTTATTTTTTAGAAAATAATTTAAAAATAATATTTTTGTATCATTTTTAAATATATCTTATATGTCATTTAAATAATTAATTTTTTTATTGACTTAAAATTTGTGATATTAAGCATGTTTACTTATTTAATAATATATAAAAATTATATATATATTTCTAACAAATTTACAAGGGATCGAAATCGACTGTTACCTTAAAATATATATATATATATACACTTAACAAATAACCTGAAGTTATTTGACTAAAAGCCAAATGCAATATATAAAAATTATATAAAAAATTATAAAACAAATTATACTTTTATTACCGCCTTTTATTTTTTCTTCCCTCTTATAATTAATAGATGTCAAGTCAATCAGAACCACTAATTTTGGTGTGAATGGAATTTAATTTAGTGACACTATTAGAAGTCAAAAATGGAAGTGCCACTACTTAATGGGAAGACCACGTTTACAACTAAAGAAGATCTGAACATGTGAACTAGAAGAAATATATAGAAAGTACGTAGGCCTTTTAGAGCATTCTTTAGTGGACTTACCATTCAGAGAACTTTAAAGCTGGAATCATGGAAAAGTCGTTTTTTCTTCTTTTTCTAGAACCCAATCAACCCCCTTCCTTCCTATCAATTCCCTCCCTATTAACTCCCAATCAAGCAAATGTCCTCCCTTCATGGTTTACTAAAAGTGAAAAAGTAACAAGTCGATCAACTCATGAAAACTTAATTTGTTTACAAGCAAATTAGGTGAATTGAAATTATACCAAACTCTTTTGTTGTCCATCATTTCTTGTCTGTTCATGAACAACTAGTAGAATTCAAATATGAAATAATAATAATAATAATAATAATAACAAAGATTATTTACCGAAAAGAAAATGGAAATTATACCACAATTAAAGATATCAAGAAATGTTGAATATGACCCACCAATCTCATTCAATCCTTGAGAAGGTTATAAAATTCTTTCCTTCTGAGAAAAACGCTAAACAATTTTCAGTGGATATAAATGGTGCTCCACCAAACTAATCTTAATCTTCTCTTTGAATCTTTCCCATCTCACATTCCCTACTCCCCCAACCCCACCCCCTCTCTATTTTTTCCTTCTTTTTTTTTTTTTTTTTAAAGAATCTATCAATCTCTTTCTCTGTGGGGAGTAGGGACCAGTGAGATTCCAGCTTTCATCCACCACCCACCACCCACCACAATTATGTTGGCTTTGCTTAAACATACACTCAAAAAACAGAGGATTCTAATCACCAATCATCCCTTTCTCTCTCTCTCACAAATATATTCTAACTAATCTTGTAACCACTAAATAATAAATTAATAAAACCCCACAAATTAACATGATTAAGAAGTGTATGTAGGCACAAAAATGGTGAAAACCCACCCCCCTCCCTTGACTTCTTCTGTTTAAGTAGGCAAAGACAGTGATGCATACTTACATATTTAAAGATATATCATTTATGGGAGTAGTTCTCATTTAACTAAAAATTGGCAAGTCTAAAGCTTGTGTTGCCGGAATTATTGTTAATATTTTCTTAATTATTCGATATTATCCTTTTTGTTTGGTTAAACAACACTTTCAGATCTAATTATATTATTGGACTGGAGAAGATTTTTTCTGAGGTCTTGCGTGGACTCCTTAATTGTTTGCTTGGTACTGCAACCATTGCCCACCTTCACACAGTATTGGGAGCCAGCAACTACTCCATTAAATTTATCTAGATGTTATTGACTGCTACTACCTTTCTATAATTTACATGTACATCTTTATATATCAAAAGAAATCACTAAAGTATTTAAACCAAGATTCATATAATAAATGGGAAGTTTCTTTCAGCAAAATTCTTACAGATTTAGGTGTGATATATTTAAATAAAAAAGGCTATGGACTAAACTCCTCTCATTGATTGATGAATTCATGTCACGATGATATTCCAGTACCATAAAGCTTGATTTGGTTAAGATGTCTATTTTTTTTTTTTCTGGCTTGTGAAATGCAACAAGAATATCAATTGTCTTCTTAGCCATATTTCGATCCATATAAAAATTTTCTTTGTCACCATTCTTTTTGCTTCTAAAAATCCCCACAAGAATTCAAATAATTTGTAAGAAGGATAAAGTTCCTATGGTTCATATTAATTGTTGCAGCACTGAACGAAGAATCTGATAACCTCAATATCTCTCATGCATGATACAAAATGATATATAATATGAAAATGATGTAAGTATAATATAAGTGTGATTATAAGTTTATAACATAATGTATTATTATATAATTGACTCTTTTCATTTAAGTATTCATTCTTGATAAAATATATATTTACTAATTTAATAACAAGTTATAAATATAAATTTACAATTCTATGTGGTAATAAGTATAACATTGATCATCAATTATGTAATCTAGTAATATAGTTATATGTATTTTTAATTGTTTAAAATTTAATTTTTAATCTATACATACTAAAAATAACAATAATATCTATAACATTGCCGTACATAATCTTGTTTAGGTATTTTCTTTTTAATTTGAATGACAATCCTACCTTTGGGCGGTTTATGTGTCGAAATCCAATTTGTGTTAATTTTCTCCTTGTCATTTGAAATATAGAAATTTAACTCTAGTGAAGTTTGTTATCATGGGTGACGTGTGGGCGTTACTAATCTATTATTGATGTGCTTGTCGACAGCTTATAAGAATAATATATACACATACAGTGGGGTGTGCTTGTAGGTCTGAGAGAAGACAATAGAGGGAAAGGAATGGCTGCCATCATCTCCTCCACCTTCCTCTCTGCTTCTTTACTTCTCCTCTGCCTTCTCTCTGCCTCGAGGAAGGGCTGTGTCGCCTTTGAGCAACCAGAATTAGCAGCTGAGACCCACCACCATAATCTCCAAGTCAGCTCTCTTCTTCCTTCATCTGTCTGCAATCCTTCCAAAGGTTAATTCCCTTCCTTTCTATACTTCATCAATTGATTAAGTGCTTTGTATGGTGTTATGGCTATTAGTACAATAATTAGGGATATTTTTTTCCCTGAATAACTAATTAAGCTGTTTATAATTCTCTATTGCGCTCCTGATATGATTGTTGATAAAAGCTTAATATATATAGCCATAATCCCAGCTTCATGACTGTGGATTGGCCTTTTGGGGACTGTTTCTACAGGCAAAAGGTGAAGCTAAAATCATTACTCATCCACTAAGTGAAAGAAGCGTCCATTGTTTGAGAATCTACGCCACTCTGCTATCACTTTCAGCCCTAAAAAGACCCAACAAACTTAATTCACCTCATGCAATTGTTAAATCCATATGTTACATATCTCTAAACCGCACTTGATATAATTCAAATTTGTATATGTGTTTGAAGGAAAATGGTATCTTTAGTTATGTTTTTCACCTTTTAATTTGATGAATGATATTGAACAGAAAAAAGAAACTTTTTTTTTCGTCGTGAATGACATTTTTATTTTCTATTAAAGAAATAGTTAGTGAATTAAGGTCTAATGGGTAACTTAATCATTGAGAAGAAGACTAAGAAGAGTTCGGTGCAATATTTCTTTTTTATTCTTAATGTGAAACACCCATCCACGTTTTTCTTCCTCTTTTTATTTATTCTTCTAATTAGTTTTAAGATTTCAATTTAAAATTAAGAATAAGCAATACACAACTTGATTTTTTTGTTTTAGTAAAACAAAGTACCCAATAAAAGGAACAAGACTACGTTACATAATTGTTAGATTTCAAATTGGGAAATTCATATCTCTACCACAAGTTTTTTTTTTATTTTAATTTTCTGAATAAAGGGAATTGTGGAGATTGGGGGAAAAAAAAGAAAAAGAAAAACAAAGAAAACATTAAATGATTTTGAGTCAAGAAATTAATATCTATTTAGAATTATTTAACATACCTTTTTAAAGAACGAAGTTGTTTAAGGATTTTTGAAATCCGCCATCTCACTACCTTAATTAAGCATATTTAAAATAGAAAAATATTCTACAATTCAAAATATTTTAAATTATGTAACACTAATTATTATATAATAGTTATATATTTTGATATTGAAAGTCTTTCATTTTAATAATTTATATTTTATAATTTAATATAATTTAGATTATAAAATAAAATTTTTTAAAGATAAATATAAATTAAATCTATTGAATGCATTATTTTACTTTTATGTTATATACTTATATTATATCAACCAATATACTAATTCCTGTGCATTTCAGCTGTGGACAAAAAGTCGCCATCTTTGACAGTAATCCACAAGCATGGCCCATGCTCTCAACTCCGACCTAACTCGGATGCTCCAACCCACGCCGAGATCCTCCTCCATGACCAAGCTCGGGTCAACTCAATTCACTCAAGACTCGCCAGGACCCTCAACAACGTGAAAGAGACAGCCGCCACCAGAATTCCGGCCAAGGACGGGAGTGTTGTAGGGTCGGGAAATTACATCGTCACGGTGGGTCTCGGCACCCCAAAAAAAGACCTTTCCCTAATATTCGACACTGGAAGTGACCTCACCTGGACTCAGTGCCAACCTTGCGCCCGATATTGTTATCGGCAGAAAGAACCCATATTCAATCCTTCTCAGTCTAAATCATATCTCAACATTTCTTGTTCCTCCTCGATTTGTGGTTCTCTGTCTTCTGCAACAGGTAATTTCAGATTCTCAATCTTCAATCCCAAAATTTGGGAAATTTTGATACAATTTGTGTATTTGGGTTAATCGTATTACTTCTTCTTCTTCTTCTTCTTCTTTTTCTGTGCTGTTTGTTTCAGGGAATCCACCGGGTTGTTCGTCATCTACCTGCGTCTATGCAATCCAATACGGTGACTCGTCTTTCTCTGTCGGGTTGTTCGGCAAAGAACGGTTAACCTTGACATCGACAGACATTTTCGACAATTTCCTATTCGGATGTGGCGAAAACAATCAGGGGCTTTTTGGCGGCGCCGCCGGGTTACTGGGGCTGGGCCGTAATAAACTATCCTTCCCATCACAAACAGCCCAGAAATACAACAAGGTTTTCTCCTATTGCTTGCCATCCTCCGCCAGCTCCACCGGTTACCTCTCCTTCGGCAACAGTGACATTTCGAATTCCGTGAAATTCACTCCTTTAGTCACTCTCTCCGGGGGTGCATCATTCTATGGCGTCGGTATCACGGGAATTAGCGTCGGTGGTAAGAGATTGCCTATCTCCTCATCAGTGTTCGCGACAGCTGGCACAATCATCGACTCCGGAACCGTCATCACCCGCCTCCCAACCACGGCGTACTCCGCTCTCAAAACCGCTTTCCGTCAAGGAATGTCCAAGTACCCAATGGGGAAGGCACTATCAATCCTCGACACGTGTTACGACCTTAGCAGTTACAATTCCTTCAGCATACCCAAAATAAGCATTTCCTTCAGTGGCGGGGTTGAGGTGGAGATAGCCCTAGCCGGAATCTTATACGTCAACAGCCCGTCACAAGTGTGCCTGGCATTCGCCGGAAACAATGATGACTCCAATGTGGGTATTCTCGGAAACGTGCAACAGAAAACACTGCAAGTGGTGTACGATGGCGCCAATGGAAGGGTGGGGTTCGCCACCGGCGGGTGTAGCTAGGAAATTCCGACTAACGAAGAGAATCTTCGAGTTAGTGCTCTTGAATCTCGATAATAGTAACAAGAAATTGCTTTGGATTAAAGTTTGATGCATATGAATAAGATCTGCTTGGCTTCTTTTCTTGCAAGTTTTTAATTAAAGATTGTAATAATTGTTTATTTTTTATTTTTAATTAAAGATTTAAAAATAATAATTATATTTATATATAATACCTATAGAAAAAAGTAAAAATAAAAATAGATTTTTTATTAGATAATTAATTAAAGTGATTAGATAATAATAAGATTAAAGAAAAATATTTTTTTACTTTAAAAAATAAAAAATAAAAAATAAATTTAGAATAAATTTAAAATAAAAAATTATTATTTTGAGATAGAAAAAAATGAAATATATGAAATCCAATTTCATAAAATCATAAGTGGTCTGAATTTTGAATCATCTTTTTGAAATGAATTATTATGTTCTTGATTGATGTTTTAGAATTTAGGGGCACCCATTGAGGGTTAAGACATATGAATTTGTTTAATACTAGGATTGAAACTATTTTTATTTTTAAATTATAATTACCTTAGATAATAAGATAACTTTTTTTTTAAAAATCCATTTTCATTCATATTAAAATTAGAATTTAAGAATTTTAAAATAAACATTAAAATTTTTAACTGCTGTAACGTCTCCTGAAAAACTCTATACGGTAATAGTAGTTATAATAATTTACTACAAAAAATCAAAACA